TTATCAAGGAGGTCTTGAACGCGTGTAATGTTGCTTTCCAACCAATACTTACAGAAGAGTGGGGAGAGTGGTAATTTCGAAAGGCGTATGTTGAACTTTGTCTCAACACTTCACGGAGAGATATTTTCAACCCATAGTGCCCGTCCGAGGAAAATACCCGTGATAGAACGCTAGTAGATTTATACTAATTAACAATTAGATTATCACCTCATAGAAATCAAGAGCGAATAATCTAATTGTTTTAGTAGAATTCTAACTGAAATTTGCATCAAATAACGATTCCAAATATTTCTGGTCTTAATATTAAACTTCTCGTTTTAGAGAATTCGCGCGGACTGAGTTGTCAATTTGACATTTTCAGTTGTGTGCGCGCTTATCAGTTTCTTTCAAAAAATTCGAGTTTTTTTAAATTCCAGTAACCGTGAATATCCTTTTTCAGTCTTCTCAGGAATTTAATTATCTATTTTTATTTAAATGTTCTTTCGAAACTTAGGAGAAAGGAGAAAACGTTGAAATTTTATCGACCACACCAAGCCACTGAACACTAATGGCTGATAGAGTGCAATGGCTCAGCCAATCAGATTGTAGCATTTGCATTAGTGTTCAAGTAGAATTCTACCTGTTAGTATAAATCTACTAGCGTTCTATATCGCGTTCTGTCTGCGGGACAATAGATAGTGTGTAGCGTAGCCAATCAGAGAACAGCATTCGTGATAGAATGCTAGCAGATTTATACCAATTAACAATTAGATTATGAGCTCGAGATTTCGATGAGGTGATAGTTGATGAGGCCGAAGGCCGAATCAACTGTCGCCTGTTTTAGTAGAATTATAAATGAAATTACCTTCAAATAACGGTTTCCAATTATTTCTCTACGTATTATTAAACTTGGCGCCTTGAGAAGATCGCTTTGACTGAATTGTCATTTGAAATTGCAGTTGTGTTGACGCGCGCGTCATCTTTTTTTTTTAATAGAAACCGTAAATGAACTGCTTTTAGGCTTCTCGGAAATTTAATTATACATTTGCATCAAAATGTTATTCAAAACTTTGGAAAAACGAAAAAGGCGTCGTCATTTCGTGGACGCCCCCCAGCCACTGTACATTAATGGCTGATAGTGTGCGGTCACTCAGCCAATTAAATTGCGGCATTTGCATTAGTGTACTAGTAAAATTCTACTAATCTGTGATAGATAGTGAGTAGCGTAGCAGTGTACCCTTGCTAACAAAATAACGGCCGCTTCTTGGCGTTTTCGAAGTGTCTGTGAAGAGGATTTCGGTAAAGTTTTGAACGACTAGTAGATTTATACTAAAACAATTAGATAATGATTATTCGCTCTCGATTTCTATGCGTGATAGTTGACTTGGGCTGCGCCCTCATCAACTATCACTGGTCCGACTACTGCCGAGCGCGCGGTAATCAAATCAAATCGTTGAGCGCAGTTCAGACGGTAATGAAATCAAGTCGTTGAGCACAGTTCAGACAACATAGTCGGAAGCTGGGAGGAGCCGCCGAACATTTGATTCACGGTAGCGAAAAACGCATTTGTCGGTTGAGCTTTGAATTTAGAGTCCGCATGTTATTGAAAGGCGCAGTAAGGTCCCAGAGTAAGCCTTTTCGTGCAGCGTGAAACATGCTTAAACAGATGAATAAGGGAATCGTAGTTCATTGTAATTGGAATGTTATCGAGTCAAGTAAATTAAAAATGATTTTCCAAGGGGTAATCCTCAACTGAACCTTGTAGCGTGTTGGAATAGAAGAAAGACTGGTGAGCGAGAGTTATGCTAAAGAAAAATGCGCAAGGAGCCTGGGTAATATGGAGAAGAAAAAGAGAGAAGAATGGAGCTAAAGGAAGAAGAGAATCGGCGAAAAGACGACGCGCAAGAGCGCGCAACGAAATCCTCTTTTATCAATACAGTAAGTAGTAATTAGCAATGTATACATTCAATACCTTAGGGAGTTCCTATTGTCTTCAAAAACAATAGAGCGCATACATAATTAATTATTCTGCATGCATAATAAATGCATGGGGTTATACGGAAATCTTGCCCTTGTAATTAATGGTTAAATCCGTGGTCCCGAAACTGCTTGCACGATAAGCCGTCACATTTTCAATTGAGCTGTTTACTCCCTTGCCTCCTATACTGATTGTTAGTAAAGAAGTCAAAAGTGCCAGTTTCTAGTTTTGCCGTCGTTAATTGTTTTGTACTAGAGTTTCCTAAATTTGTGCGGCTTTAGCTGGTTTTCTTGACAAATTCGTTCAATTTATATTGGCACTTTTTCGTTTAACTGTGTTTGGGTTAGTTTTATTTTAAAGTGTCGATTTTCGTTTACATATCAAGAATGAGTAGCCAATCAGGTCTTATAGTTTTCTTCTCATAGCCCACTANAGTCTCAAGTCAGTCTGACGGCTGGGTATGTACTTAGCTGTCCAACGTGACACAATCCTTAAAGTGCATGAAATTTCCCAAAGCTGAGTGGGTTTGTTGCCTTGGCAGAAGGTTCCATTATTGTCGTGAGGTGGGGCTGATATGTGCGGAGTGGTACCTGACCCCCGGGGGGAGGGGGAGATTTCAAGGCACTTTAGTTTGCTGTCATTAAGTTATGCTTGCAAAGAGCTTTTATCTCATATGATGACAGTTAAGCCTGAATTCATCCACAGGTGGCCCAGAGATTCTAGATGCACTAGATGAAGTGTGGAGTGCGGAACTTGGTAAGCACTGCTTACATGACTCTATTAGGCACCAGGTGTTATTGGGCTGTTCGGACCTGGTTTTCAAAACATCAGGTAGATATATTCAATACCTTAGGGAGTTCCTATTGTCTTTCAAAACAATAGAGCGCATACATAATTAATCATTCTGCATGCATAATAAATGCATGGGGCTATACGGAAATCTTACCCTTGTAATTAATGGTCAAATCCGTGACCGTGGTCCCGAAACTGAGAATTTCCCTTCCTATGCTAAAGTTTTGTCGTCGTTAAATCGTATCTGATTTTATTTAAATCACAAGACAGCTTCGACAACTCAACTTGCACGGTAAGCCGTCACATTTTCAATTGAGCTGTTTACTCCCTTGCCTCCCATACTGATTGTTAGTAAAGTAGTCAAAAGTGCCAGTTTCTAGTTTTGCCGTCGTAAATTGTTTTGTATTAGAGTTTCCTAAATTTGTGCGGCTTTAGCTGGTTTTCTTGACAAATCGTTCAATTTACATTGGCACTTTTTCGTTTAACTGTGTTTGGGTTAGTTTTATTTTAAAGTGTCGATTTTCGTTTACATATCAAGAATGAGTAGCCAATCAGGTCTTATAGTTTTCTTCTCATAGCCCACTACAGAAGATGTAACAATTTTTATTACATGGCTAGCTCCGTGAGCGGGCAAGATGAAT